AGGAAGGGAAGTAAGTCCCAAATGGAATGCATGGGATTGAGGTCAGTAGCTATGTGTGGCTCTCCTTTGCAACTGAAACTCTAATGCATTTCAATTCAGTTTTTAATGGATTTCTATTCAACATCTACCTTTCTAATCAAAAATGTCCTTTGCCAAGTAATGATTTCCTTCTACCTTCTGTGCCTTCTGTAAAATGGAAGTAATATCGATTTGTAAAGTATTTTGAAATCTCAAAGATCAAACCACCTTGGAACTTACATATCCTGGATGTTGATAGAAACCGTACTGCTAATTATTTTTGTTTAAATTCAGTTACCAAATCATTAATTTAAGTTTCCTGAAATGGAACTTAATTATTGCTTGGTCTATTAAGACCTAATCAAAAGTTGGAAGTCCAGAATTATAGATGTTCTTCTGAAAAACAATATTTATGTAAAAATTAACGCTACAAAAAGCAAAGGAGGCAAAAAGAACAAGGCTAGCTAAGTAAATAATACACAGCTCCCCTACAAAATAGATGGCCAAAAACAATAACTAAAACCCCAAAGACAAAATGCATGTAAAAATAAAAGTAAGTCTTCCCTTAATAAAAGTAAATCATTACTGATTACAACAAATAGGGAAAAATTTAGCATTAATAAGTTGTGATTAGCTTTCTAATCCCAGAATCTAAACATCAAAACTGAAGTAAGAATAAGACTGATTCTCCTGCCTTATACCACTAGAAAAATGGGCAAAATATAAGAAATAATGGTTTCCAGACATTACATAACAAGTCTCACAGGATTATGATTTTTGAGAGAAGGGAAACAAATGAGATGATCTTACAATTGTATCAGTTTACTGCTGGAAGGTAATTTTCAGACATAGCTCATGGAAAGGGAACCCCAAAAGAGCCTGAGGTCTTGCTGAGTTAAACAGGCAGAGATCAGAGTTCTGAGAGTCCAAGATGCTTAGAATTTGTGGGACAGGATACCGGACAGGATACCAGACAGGAGGGAGCAATACAGAAACAGAACTGAGAGATTTTGGGACAAGTCTTTGGCTGTATGGATGAAAAGAAACTATCTAAGGCCAAGAAAAGAACCACAAGGGAAGAGTACCCCAAATAGACCAGAAATAATATATATCTGTGCTTTGAGACCCACTTGCTAAGACTTGAGATGGGACCATCTCCCAATTATATCTGGAGACCTCACCTCTATTGGGTAAATAATGTAACTTTGGTGTTAGTTCTTGATTCCTGAGAAAGAACCTCTAAACTGTTTGAATTTCTCTAGTGATTGAAGTATCTTTAATGAGGTCTCCAGACTACACCTGAGGGTCTATCCTCGTTGCCTCCTTGATGGGGGCTGGCCAGATCAGAAAGACCCACTTTATGATAATTAGCCCAACCTCAGGCAGGGGATGCAGACCATACCAGTGACACTATCAGAGGAGGCAACACCAAAATGATTATCTATAAAATTTTTTTCAGGGTTTCAGCAGAAATTTATTATTTTTATAAAAATATCCTAGTAGTTAGGTATAACAGCAAAAACATTTTTCATAAGCCCAGCTTACCTCTATCTAATATATCTACAAGGCTAAAACTCTATGCTCATTTACTTTTTGAACCTTCCAATGTGCTCAGGTCAGAGCTGCCATTATTATTCAATTACAATCATGTTTCAAATCTCCTGATTTCATCTGTATGTGCTACAAACACATCTGCTGTTTCCATTGCTGCTGGTGTCTTTACAGTCACTGTTTTTGTCAAATTTTCTGGTGTTTTAGCTACAATATTGTGGTAATTAGTATTTGTGAACCTGTAGCAATAACTTTTATGAGACTGAAGTAGTAATTAAGGGAGAAAAATCAAAAAGGCTTCCACTCAGTTACTAACATTATAACTAACAACACTGTAAGGCAATGTAAAGATTTTACAGAACAATTTTGTGGTTAGTATTCATATAATCAAACAAATATTAAATTTCGGCAGTTTACAACTTTATCACTATCACATTTTATTCTATGATTAAAATTGATAATAAACATTATTAAGGATTCTGCATGGTCTGTTATGAGAGAAAGTCCATGGGGGGGGGTGGTGACATTATGAGTTACCATACTGGCTGACACCAATCATAGTAACATCACTGGGGCTGATGCAGTCAACCATGCCTAGGTAATGAGACTCTCATAAAAGTCTGGACAGGGAAGCTCCATGGGCTTCCTGGTTGGAGAAATACATTGTTTCTTGGGAAGGTGACACATGCTTTTTGGAACCTGAAAACTCTGTGACCTCGCCCTAAGCATCTCTTTTTCTGCTGGTCCTAATTTGTATCCTTTATTTAAAAAAACCCTCTAATCATAAGTATAGTGCTTTCCCGAGTTCTGTGAGTTGTTCTTATAAATTATTGAAACCTGAGGGAGTAATGGCAATCAGTAAGTGAGGGGTGCCCTGAAGACCTCCGAGCTTTCTGCTAGTATCCTAAGGGAATAGATGGAATCCCAGAATTTGTAGCCAGCAGGTCAGAAGTGAGGGCTGGAGACACCCACAAGCTTGCAGCTGGTGTCTCAGGTCTTAGGCAGACTTGGTAGTCTGGAGGGCTGTGCCTTTTTAATTTATTTAGTGGAACAGATTGAAATTGGATTGAATGAATTCCTTCCTTCAATAATAGATTGTATACAACCTTGAGTGGTGCAAGTGGGACTGCTAGACTAAAGGTGGGAGGTCCAAACCCACCCAGTGGCCTTGTAGAAGAAAGGCCTGATAAACAACTTCCATAAAAGAAAACCCTGTGGAGCAGTTCTCCTGTGTAACACACAGGGTTGCCATGAGTCAGAATCATCTGCAGGCCCATGGGTTTGAGTTTTTGTTTTTCAACTGATCCCTCCAACTATTTAATACAGTCATCACATGACTCAGATCAGTGTACCATGAATATGTTGACTCCAGGCACAAGTGCCTTACCCCTCATAGAGTATCTTCACCATGGTCTGGACTTTTGTACATTCTGGAAAACTGAACCTTTAATGGGGGTAGGGAGAGAGAAGGTCCTGTAACTATACTCTGGGCCCAGACAGAACTGTGCTGGGTCTACTGGAATTGAATGGACCCCATTACCTAATGCATGACTTGGAGCTGAAGTAAGAAAACTAAAACCAGACTCATTGCCCTATAGTCAATTCCAACTCATAGCAACCCTACAGGACAGAGTAGACTGCTCCACAGGTTTTCTTTACAGAAGCAGGCTACCACATCTGTCTCCTGTGGAATAACTGCTGGGTTTGAATTTCCAAACGTTTGGTTAACAGCCAAGTGCTTAAATCACTGCACCATCAGTTTTTCTTAGTGCTAAAGTAAATAAACTTAATAGTCACAGTTCTTATTGTTAATTTTTCAAAAAGGAGACTCATTTGCCCTTCAGCTTTTTGGCTCTTGCTGGAAGATCTTGGATTATTCCTAATGTTCGTTTTGTGTGATCCCATAGCAACATCATAAACCCTGGATTAAATATCACTGTCTGGATACAGACTATCTTCTGAAAAAACAATTCCCCAAACCTAAACTTACCATATCAACACTTATAAGCATATCTAAAAGAGAACAGAGAAAAGGTTTTAAATGCATACAAAATAATTTTATCATATACCATTTATCTCCTTGCTCTACAAATTGAATGTTTTTGAGTTTCAAAGAGGCCGTGGGTATGGAAAATGAATTACTAGGCTTAACCCATTTGCACATATCTTTTTGTCCCTCTCTGTCAAAACATAAACCCTGTCTTTATTTCTTCGTAGCCAGTATCTGTTTCACCATCTGTCCTGCCATCTCCTCTTTTCCCCAATCCCTGTCCTTTCTCATACTTTGCCATTGCATTCTCTTTCTGATTCTCAAAGTCCTTCTTTCTCCTAATTACCACTCAACTCTAAGCTTAGAGTGATGTACTTACTGTACATGCTCCTAAAAATGACCTGCCTAGCACACTGGTTAAAAGTATGGGATCTAGGACCTTACACTTAGATTCAAACTCTAGCTCTACCACTAATTGGCTGTGTGAGTTTGTGTAAATTACTTAACCTCTCTGTGTCTATTAAATTATTTGGAAAAGGAGAACATCAATAGTATATGCCTTGTAGATGGCAATGAGGATTGATAATACTCCTCAAGCTCTTAACATAGCACTTGGCCCATGACAAGTTCTCTGTTGATGTGAACTATTATTAGTAATATCACCTTTTACTTGGGGTTTTTAGTGCATCACGAATGTCATAAATAAAAGGGAATTCTGGTATTTTCATTTAAAAAGGGAAAGGACGGACTCAAGGCTCATGAAATAGCAGGCGGAAAGAAAGCCTATGGGGATGACAGAACATAAGCAGCACGGGGATCTGCAGCTGTTTTCTGTTTTCTCCATTTCCTCTCCCCTGTTCAGAAGGAAGTAGTGAGGAAGCTTTTGCATCAGTGGGTTCTTGGGCTCAGAATATGGCCTCACTTCTAGATGAGCAATGTTGTGTTAAAAATTTCTGTTGGCCAAAATTCAATAGATCCTCTTAAGCCATGTTATAATGCAGCAAAACATCAGAAGCAGAAAAAAAAATCATGTGAACTTATTTTTTCTAGGTTATGGAACATGTGAAGGAGCCCTGGTTGTGCAGTAACTAAAGTGCTCGGCTGGTAACTGAGAAGTAAGTGGTTTGAACCCACCACAGGGAAAGATGAGGAATCTACCTCCACAAAGATTTACAGCTTTGGAAATCCTATGGGGCAGTTCCTCGGAAGGAAGATGGGGCAATCCTACTTCCGTAGTGATACTTCCTCGGAAACCCAAGGAGGGGTCGCTATGAGTCAGGTCCGACTTGAGGGCACATAACAACAACAACAACATGGGGCAGTTCTACTCTGTCCTTACAGGATTGCTGTGGGTTGAATTGATTTGTTGGCAATAGTTTTGGTTTGACTTAGAAATTGTGAAAAAGCTTGTTACACTGAAGAAGAACTAGACTGTACTCACCTGTAAACGTTTACTTGGCTAATTAAGGCTTGTCCCTTTTGCAAAGCATCAGCTGTGCAGTCTTTAATTTCTCTGTATAATTCCTCATGCCTCGTTGCCAAGACAGGCAGACTTAAACCTTCTGATTTAAGGAGCTTAAGGTAAGCTTCAACTCTTCCAAGTACATCAAATGCCTGCCAAACAAAACATACTTTCATTTTCAGCTTTTCTAGTTGAAAATCAACATCAATGTGTATATAAAATACTAGAGATGAAGCTAGGCTTTTAAATTTATTATGATCACAAATTTATTATTTGATCACAACCAAAAATAATAATCTTAGTTTTGGAAAACAGTTATATAGCTTTAAGGATGCATTTAGAAAATGTGATTATAGCTTAGTTCAGCAGAGATAAATATCAACACCATAAAATTACCAAAACAGTTTAAATTTAGAATATATCCACATGACACAAACAGTTGTTATTGTACAGAATTGAAGTGTCTGGTTTTTTTGGGGGTTTTTTTGGTACATTTACACTACGCACATATAATGTATATTTAAAAAAATATTCTTTAGCCTTTCATAACCTAAATGTTTCTGTAATATTCTTAAAAGATAATTTCTCAATAAATTGCAATTTCAACTTGAAACACTGAAGAAATATTCAGAGCATTACTAATGTATTTTTCTCCCTTGCCTTTTCAAGTGTAAGACCTTTGGCCTACTCCATCCAAGACATCCATCTGTCTATAGAAGAGATTAGAATTTGAACCTGAATAGTATATAGAGAAAGATGAAGGTAGTATTTCACTTCTTACATGTAAAACAAGATTATGCAGAAAAAGCATAGTTTTGCAAACAAAGATTATCGAGAGGAAAGTTTAGGAACTCCTTTATTTTCTTTATTAGCAGATCTACAAACAAGCATGGGGGATTCAGTTTACAGAATTCAAAAAGAGTAGAGAGGAGATATCCCATTGGCCATTAAGGCTTTGGAGCTCTGATAACATAGTGCCTAAGGCACTTGACTGCTAACCAGAAGGCTAGCAGTTCAAACTCACCAACCACTCCTCAGAAGGAAGGTTGGGCAATCTACTTCCGTAGTGATACCGCCTCAGCAACCCAAGGAGGGGTCGCTGTGAGTTGGGTCCAACTCAACAGCACATAACAACAACAACAGTATTAAAATGGAGAAGTATATGACATAAAAGCAGTAAAACAGGGCTGTGGAAATAGAAGAAAAGAAGGAGGCAATGTCTGTTGTCTTCATGGGTTTTCTGATCTTCTCATTTTTGAACTTTGACCTGGAAAGCATGCAAGGAGTTAGGTAAATTAACTGAACATTAAGGGGGCACTTGCCACACTGCTCTTTGAAACTACTGAAAAAGGCAATCTTACAAGATGTCCCGTACCAATTTGGGGAATGCCTCAACTTGGTAAGCTTGACAATACCACGTAATGAAGCAGGGGCTTGGCATCCAGCTTTCCTGGAATGTTGAGTTGGGAGCCAGTGAGCCTGACACGGGCCCACCAGAATGGAGTAGGAAGACCCAACAGAAGATGCTGGAGGAAGAGCTCAGAATGCAGAAAATGAGAGGAGATAGCTGCATGAGTCTTGCACCATTGAGACCTGAGAGGTGGGACAGCAAGCTACACTGACTGAAAGAACACTGCTCGAGCCAATGGACAGGCTGCAGCTGTGGAAATGCATAAAAGCACCCATTCCCCTACACCCATCTTAGGGGATGCATCATAATGGCAGAATTGTAACTGGACAAAATTTGAATTTACAAGTTAAATTCCTCAAATGATATCCTATTATGTGTATGTTGATACTCTGTTCTTCCACCGATATCTTCATGTCACTCAAGTCTGCTATTTGTATTTACTTAGAATATCATTACCAAACTATTCCCACTTATTCAGCAGCTGATAGAAAGTAATAATAACTATCCTATGAGTTTCACAATCACTTTTTATTCAGTTAACAAATATTTTAAAAATACATAATACATGCTGCAGTTTAGACCCATTTTCTTTAACAGTCCTGAGAGGGAGCAAGAAATTACCTATTATATGATTGGGGAAACAAAGTCTCAAAGAGACTAAACTGAAAAGTGACATTGCTATTAAGGAGTACAAACTGGGATTTACATCCAATTTTTCTGATCCAAAGGTCTCTGCTGTTAAACTCTGGACTAGGGTACCTTGTAGTAAGGCATTATGACAAAGGAAAGAAGGCATATTCAGAGAAGTATGAAATCTTGGGTGGAGAAGGTGGGGATTTTAAAACTCAATTTTTGTAAATAAATATCTGCCTTTCTTTCTTGTAGGTGAGAAAAGATTCAGAGAAAGGCCAAGAGATTTCTCTTATGCTATAACAAGACTGTCAAAAGCAAAAAAAAAAAAAAAAAAAGCTTTATTAAAGAAACTCTAAACCTAAATAGCTTCCTTATCTGATCCTTCCTCTTCCCCAAGGTTGGCAACCAGGTCAAATGCAACAAGATGCTGATGTTTCAAAAGTAAATGGTTTGAATTACTCTCCAGATCTTTCCATAACTCACTGAAACACCACTTGGCAAAACCCACTGTTTCTAGAATTTTGCTTTAGATTTTAAAATGTTATCGCTTATTTTGAACAAAGTGAGTCTCATCTTAATTGAGCATTAGTTTTAAAGTCAGTATATAAAGCAAAAATCTAATGCAGTAAAAATTACATTTTAACTCCCTTAAATCACTATTAAAAGTTTAATATACAAAGTTTAATATTTACAATAATTCATATTCACATTTGGCATTGACAATCTCTTAGCTGGACTAAAGGGAGAAATAAAGGGAAGGTTTATATGTAGATACTGGGCATTCATACTTTTCTTCCTTTAAAATAATCTCGAATGCCTAGTTTAAATAGAAAAGGATGGAGAATTCCAAAATACTTGCTCCTTGTCTATGAGTTTAACTCCATTCTGTTTTAATATTAAGCCATTATAACTTTCATTTCATTATAACATTACATTTGTTGTTTTGAGAATTAAACAAGAGAAAATATATAAAAGTAACTAGGGCATGATGGCAAGACAAGTAGTTAGGTACTCAGAAAATATTTTCTGGCTGCTACTCTAAATTTTGATTGATTTGACACATCTTTGAAGAGTCACTGAGAAGAGTTTGGCCACTTGCTGCCTGTCATTCGACCCACATGGACCTTTCCTCCTGTGGCCCCACTGAACAACTGCTACTCTCATATCCTTGGATACTGCTGTCATCTTCACAGGAGTTAGATTCCAAAGCCACACACACATCACATACATGTGTGATGTGACTCCACCCTATTCCTGAATGTCATCATACAATTATTATTTCTTAATAGCATGAAATAAAATGAACAGCCAAATGTTCACTAGGAGGAAATGATATATCAAGGACCAAAATAATCTAAAACTTGGAATTGAAATAGACAGATTTTATTCCACAGCTTTTTCTCAAAAAGATTAAAGTGTGTTTTACTAACAGTATGTATAACACTTAATAAAACTGTGGCAGTAGGAAGGAGGTGAGTGGTTCTATTCTTTCATTAGCTCAACAAATGATTTTGCAGAATACCTGCTATCTGTAAGGTGGGGTAGGTATCGCAAAGGAGCTTTTTCTTCAACCTTAATCATAGCCTAACCCTAATGGTAGACACAGAAACAGCAGTTGAACTTCACTTTAAAAGCAGACTTTTTTTTTTTTTTTTCAAAGTGAGTAAACTGTCTTTGATTGTCTGAATCATAAGCAAGAGAAAAAGTCAGTAGTAAGATTATTATTTACAAAAGCCAGGTTTTTCTCTCTCTCCTGTTTCATTCTGCAGTCTCTAGCTTTTGGCCAGAAAAAAAGTTAGCAACCACAGTGTTTCTGTCTTTTGAGACATTTATTGGAATCGCTTTCACTTTCTACAAAAATTTAAGGATGGGTTTCTCTGTCTCTGCCTCTGCCTCTCTCTCTCATGCTCCTTCTCTCTCATGCTCAGTGTCCTTAACTTCTCAAGGGTCAGCAATGCCAATTTGCCCCTCAAGCCAATAGTTTTACTCTTTATTTAAATCAAGCTTTCAGAGTTAGTTTTTCTTATCCCACCCATTTGGGTTTGAATTTGATGAGGAACCTATGTGCCAATAACAGAAATGAGCTAAGTATCATTGCTTCTACTTAGTCTACTCCCAAAATAGAACTGAATGCTTTTCTATTTACCCATATCCACAAGGAACCTGATATACTGGACCTAGCCAGGAAAGAATCTCTCTTTGTCCTGCACATAGTACAGAGGAGATTATTTCTAGCAAATAAGAACTCTGTGACCCCCACATAAACGTCTTTGGAATTAATGTTTCCCCTTTAGTTTTCCTCTTTATATCCTCTTCTTTCTTCAAGCCTTATACATGCGGGTCAAATAAAGCATTCATGATTACACTGGAAAAAAACAAGGATATAAGCACAAGGATACTATTTTGTCCCTATGGGTTATAGCAATTCTTAGCCATTTTATACAGAGTGACCTAGTTATTAGGCAGGAAAAAAAAAAAAAAAAAAAAAACAAGATGAATGTGCTTTTTTCAGACCTGCTTTGCAAAAGACTATGGAGTTAATAAAGATCTTTCCTTTTTCCCTTGTTAAGTAGGATCCAATGCAGTCTGCATCCACTCAGATAAAGAAGATAGCAGGCCATGGCACACTTTATTCCTTTAAAAATATCTAGGGGACTATTAATTTAAGCAAGAAACACAAGTCATCCAGCATAGTTCTTTTATCATGCTGCTTTACAAAGATGTTTAGTTAAGGAATATTGTGTTTGTCTCTTGGCTAATTTGAAAGGAGTCAAAACTTAAAAAAAAAAAAAAAATTTTAACTGAAGAACTTGGAAAATGTCCTTTCATGAATCCAGTGACTGGAAGTTGAGTTTGGTTGGATGGAACCTGTATAACTATATCAAAGAAGGATTCAAAATTCAACTTAGCTTCTAATTAGAGCACTGGGTTCCACTGCCTATGGAGATTCGGATTTCTTTTGAGTTCAGTATTTATAAAGATGGAAAACTTCAGTTTCCTTTCCTAAACACCATCTGAGATAACTTCTGGTGATTTTCAGTCTGATTAATTCAGGTCTTGTCCAAATCTGCCAGACCTTTCAAGAGGTGTTGTAAAAGTCAGGACATA